TGATTATGGTAACATCTGTTAACCGTGCTGAAACTCCTAACTCTTTGCTGATCATGTCCTCTACATGTGTGCGCTGTGTTTTCTGAAGTATTCATTCATTCATGTCTTTAGGCAGTAAGTCATTACTTTGAATTTTCACTGCAGAAAATGTAAAAAAAAGGCTGTTTGACACGTCAGGCATTAAAAAGAACTATTTAGAAATGGTCAATCCAGTCGCTGATTGTCTTTGTTTGCTTTTGTAGGTCATATAGAGAAACTCCTCAGAGGAGCTTTACGTTGCCTTTATTCCTTATGCCATTCCTTTAGTTTATATTGTTGAATAAAAGATCAGTTAATTATATTCTTCAGGTAATGGGATATAACATCAACAGTCTCAAAAACTGTTTAAATAAATATAAAGCTCCATAAGAAGCTAATATGATTAATAGATTAATACGTTTTTCAGTTCTATCAACTCCATGTCTGTGATTCTCAAAAATGGATTTAGCTTTAAAGCTTAAAAGTGAACAAGCCATGGATGTTTTAGCAGTGAGTAGAGTGAAAGGAAGTGATGACAACATTGACAAATAAGTTTGAATGTACATATTCAAAGTGAGAGTCATTTACAAAAACACCTGAGAAAAGGACTCTTTTCTCAGAGGAAACACAGCCCATGAAACTACATATTTTGATAAAGATCGTCGTTTTCTCTACAAAGCTCATGTCAGCAGAGTAGCCTTGGCATCAAACAGCAGCATCAAACCACAACTTGACTATTCAAATGTAAAACATTAGGTCAAGGTCACTGCATCTGTTCCTCCTCTAAAGCAAACAGCACATTTGCAAAGCAAAATATCCTCATAAGAAATAATGCAAAATGTGTCTTAGTGAGATGGAAACCTGCACCAGGGTATTAGAAACAAGGCAGATGAGCTCTTATCTCTGCATCGCTGTCTCTCCTTTGTGCAGGTTTATTAAACTCCAACAGGATACACGTCGAGTGTGTTATATCAAAAACGTCAGTTTCCTAACTCTCCCAAAAGTCATCAGAGTCAGAGAGAGATTTGGTTTATGGCCATGCAAGGTAATAACTATGAGGTGAATCAGAGAGTTGTTTCCATGGGGGGGGGGGGGGGAAGCAGGGAAGCAGGGAAGCAGGGACTGAGCTGTGGGAGGTATTTGTAGAATGTTGAAATAGCGGCTGGATTACATGTTCTGCTACACCCACTTATCCGTACACACTGTTAACACACACCCACAGAGAGGCACCCTGAACGTGCACGTGTGTGTGTGTGTGTGTGTGTGTGTGTGTGTTGTGTGTGTGTGTGTGTGTGTGTGTGTGTGTGTGTATGTGTGTGTGTGTGTGTGTGTATGGTGCATTTAAAACTACACCTATCACACACAGTTAAAGACAGCATTGACTGTCAGAGAACAATAGCAAATGAGTCAGATGTGACTCATTCAGATTCTCTCCTTTGTACATATTAAAGACATAGACGCAGAGTTTCTTAAATTTTGGTAAATTTGAAATTTTAGATAAGTTGAGGAGAGCAAAAGCAAAAAAAAAAAAAAAATACTCGGAGACCATACATCATATGGCCTCAGACATTTTGAATTGTTATTAAAGCACATATATTACTCAAGGAGCAAAAAAAAAAGTGTCAAAAAAGAAAGAAAGTGCAGTTCCTCAAACGTCTACTCGAAACTTTCTTTTACCAAACGGAATTAAACATGTTTACAGCCTGGTGAAAAAAAAAACAGTTTTGGTCTTGATAGCTCATTTCTTTATGGGCACTCACTTTACGTCATCTGTTATGATTATATTTAGAGTTATGCATACATTCACATGATTAAGGGTGTGGCTGGTTTGACTGATAGGAGATATCATTGTAGCACTACCAAGACCCTGAAACTGAAGCATTTAAGCTTTTTCAGCCTTTTCTGACTGTTACATGTTAAGCAGTGTATGATCTGTATCCACGTTTAACTTAACAAGTTATTTTCATTCTTATTTTCTCCAGATTTCACATTTCGGTAACTGTGACAACCCCCTCCCTGTATCGTCTCTGCCTGGTCTGCTAGTGGTCTCTCCTCCCCCCCCTTGCATGTGGCGGTCTGGTAGAGTCCTGGCTCACCTGGGCTGTTGAGCTGGCAAAGCAGGACGGGTCAGTCTGACTTTCTTACTCTCAGCCCCCCCCCCCCCATGATCCCCTGGTCGGGTCGCTTTGTTGGCTCCTTTGTTTTAACATTGGACACCTTCATTCACCCGGGCGCTCACACAATAACTGATTGTTCACATTGTAGTTGTTTTTGTAAATAACGTTCTAATGCAAATTGTTTTGTTTTTGACCTTCTGCCTTTTTGTACTTAACCAGTTCATGTCAGACACCTCAGTGAGCAACACCAATATAGCATTTAAGAGAATTACCAATGAAACTGAATCTTTAAGTTTATTGGAAATGTTAAAATAATAATAAATAAATAATGCATTGATTTAGTTTTGCTTGATTCATCTGACTGCATCTACATTATCAACTGTTGTAAAGAGGACTAATTAAAGCTCCTGTGAGAAGTTTTCAATCGGTAATGAAACAGACTGAAAATAAGACTGATGCCTCTATAAGGCCTACAAACGCAAACAAGACCATAAAGGAAATGATTTACTATTTTTTACATCTGTTACCACAGCTGCAGGGTGTCAAATAACATCATTGACAGCTTGATGCTGACACAGCATTTTTAGAAATAGTTTGAAAGTTGTTTACAGGAGCTTTAATAAACCACAAACTTTCTGAATTTGACACAACATATACTTTATGATTGCTCTTCTTTGCAGACTGATTGTTTCCATCTCTAATGTCCATAACTTGAAGCAGCTCAACAGTGTCAGCTCTACAAACCACACGAGCACACTTAGTCTTTAACAATGAATTGACGTAGGGAGTAATCTTCCACAGAACCTTATAATTTTAATGTTTTATCGTACACACGATATCAACACTTGGAGAGAATATTCTGTACACTACTTCATCTAAGACTGACTGCGTTTGTGCACAGTGTGTGTGTGTGATTGTTAAAGTCATGTCCAGTGTCTCTCAGGGCCAACATAAGATACTGTTAATCTAAACACACACACACACACTCAGAGACAGACAGACACTTCTGCAGCCCCAGCAGAGACACACAAACTACACACTCTATATGAGAGCATGCGTAGTGTAGTTTTCATTACGTTTCTCAGGTCTTTAAAAAAAGGTTTCTGCAGTCGTCTTTAAAAACAACGTAAATCTCTATTTATTCTATTGTTTGTATCGTGCAGGTTTATTCCTGAGACACAAACACAATATTATTAATTGAATGTTCTCTTCCGCTTTCTGTCATCAGAGTAAATACTTCAGTAAAAATCAGTCGTTTAAACAAAGGGCTAATTGTGTGAAGGGAAATTGTTCACCTCCAGAGGAAGTTGTGTTGTAAACAATGTAGTGTAGAAGGATCCAGAAGTGATGCTGGATGTCTTCTAACAGTTAGGTTTAGTACACCCTCCCCCCCCCCTTCAACAGATGCGAATGGTTGGTGTTGAGTTGCTGAAGACATCCAGAGGTTCCAAGAAATCAGGAAAAAGTCTGCCCCTTCCCCCCACCTCTCTCCTTCATACGGAGCAAACACGTTGACCGCCAACACAGACCTCACTATCCCACTTGTTTTCAGACAAACACACTCATGCCAAGTTTCTCATAGCAAGCCGACACTGTACGTACGTTCAACATATTTCACTGCCAACCAAGCCGGTAACACAAACATCAATATGTGTCTTAGAGCGAAGTTGTTTACATCCTCTGAATAAAGACGTTCTGTATTTATTTCTTCACATGACCTTACTGAGAAATGTGACGAGGTGGGGTGTTGATTTTATATGTTGTGTATGATGGAGGCTTGTGGACGGGGGTGGGACGAGGTCAAGGTGGACCAAAGCGATAGTGGTGATTTTACATCTTCCAGTTTTATATCTTAAAAGCTTTCTATAAAGGAACATTTTTACAAACATGTTTAATTAGTTAATATTAGGATTTAAGAAGCTTTTTATTCTTCATGAGGCAGACGTGACAAAAATGAGACCTATGTATGAGACCTCCTCCTAGCGGTCAAACAGAGGAACTACACCTGGTGGCTTTAATAACAGAAGTGTGAGCTGTTACAGAGTTTACACATGTACACACTTCTTCAGTTACATCCAGATATAAGGAGTGAAATAAGAACATTAAGAATGATCTGAAGGTATAAAATACATGACAAGGATAAACTGACGTTCATCTTCAAAGTAGATTTATCCACAAATAATTTGGGGATTTCATAGGATATATTAAAAATAATCTGATGACGGTTTCCTAAAGTCTATCACATTTTTAAGCAACACTTGTTTTTCCTCCTAAGTCTTTAATGAAATATATTGAACTTACTATGGAGGAAAGAAAATGGTCAAATCGTCATATTTTAGAAACAGAAACCATTTATCAGTTGTAACTAGTGTTGTAGTCAAGACCGCACAAACCGAGATCAAGACGTACCCGAGACCAGAGTGCTCAGAGACCAAGACATTTAGGAATCTAGACCAAGTCGAGACCAAGACCAAGGCAGGGAGGGATCGAGAGTAAGACCAAGTCGAGACCAAGACCAAGGCCATCAATATCACAGAAAAATCATCTTGTGTGCAGCGGGCATGTCACTCACTTCGACTGTAACACTGGGTAGGTTGAGGCCGTAACCGGGAGAAAAAAATCTAATTATGAATAAATTGAAGTTATTAGTTCTTTTAGATCACAGTAATGGCATGGAAAGTAGGTCTTGTTTTAAAGTCCAGAGTCTGCCCTGTCTGAGGCCAATAAGGCCGAGTAAAAATGTTTTCCATTCCGAAACGAGACCGAGACCTTCAAAAAGAGCGATTTCAAGTACTTAGTTGTTGTAAAAGTTCACGATTGAAATCCTGTCAACCAGTTACTTGATTTCATCACCACACAACATCATTCACTTTCACTGTTATTTATTGTTGTTTTTTTACGTTCCAGCGACAGATACACGACACAACACGGTACACATCCGGATATCTGAGCAGGGAAAATGTTGATGCTTTGGTTGTTTCCTACCATAATCAAAAAAAGTGCAGTAAACTGAACTCGCGAGCTGTACACACGTGCATTGACATTATACTCTTAAAAAAAAAAAAAAACTCTGTACAGTATATCCAACACCTTATGGCCATGAGGCGTTCACAAGCAGAGAGGAGCCACGGTCCCTCTGGTCCTTTGTCTTAAAATATAAAAAAATAAAAATAAAAAAAAAACAGAAAAAGTGCATCAAATAATTCAGAAATCCTAAAATCACCACGCAACAACTGAAGGAGAAGCAGTTCAAGTTACAGTACTCATCAATGAGTTATGACCTCATAATAATTCAGTTAGTCTACAATCAACAGGTATCACTGCTTGTGTTGGAAGTGTGTAAGGGAGGCAGCAGCAGCAGCAGCAGCAGCAGCAGCAGCACGGTGGAGTCGGTTGTTTTTATGCTCACAGATGTTTACAGTGTTGGAGAGCGACCTTGACTCAATTCCATCAAACCTCGCTCAAATGAACGTGGAGAGTGGCTGCAGAGATTCTGAGAAGACCGGAGACGCCTTCACCCACAGCAGGCGGAGAAGCCCAACTCAAACATAGAGCCACACACACACACACACACACACACACACACACCTCGGTAATCACAGCGGCTCTGAAGGGAAGCAGAGGGGAGGCGAGAGTTGTGTTTACATGTTTGTGAGGAGGGGAATAAGGTAAGTTAAGGTGAAAACAGATTTCTATTTTAAAACATTTTATGTTTACATTTCATGCTGTTTACCTCACTGTACTGGTTCCTGTAAGTTCTCACTCCTCAGGTTAGACGAGGATTGTTGCTGATTAAAATTTGTAAATTAAAAATGCTAAATGATTGGACTTGTGGAGCTCTTTTCTAGTCATCTGACAAAAGAACGAGTACTGCGGAGTCACAGCAATTATTACAAAGAAGGTTTGTGGACAGCTGGAAATTAGAATGACCTAAATTGAAGATTTCTAAGCAGTGTGTAAACCTTTAAAAACCCCTTTGTGTTTCTGCGTTGAGAAGCACGACATGTAAAGAAGCAGCAGGAGCGCCACACACACACACTCAGACATGCAGACACACACATCGCTGTTCTCCCCCGCTGGCTCTGTAAACGCCTCTGTTTCGACCTCAGACGGTGGCACAGAGGAGGGATAACTTTGTCCTCCCATTATGCCTCTGTGAGTTCATAGTGAAGGAGAGATGTTACAAACTGACAGTCTGAACAGAGATAGAAAGTGTGTTTAGACTGTGGGCGGTCCAGAGCGCAAAGTCAGAGCTCCCTATTGGTTCTTTTCTTAGTTATCATCAGAATGACCATCAGGTGTTTTTGTCAAAGTAACATTTTAACACCTGCACACGGGCAACATTTCCAGAACGTTTCAAAACCCTCCTGAAAGTGCAAACAAAAGAGTTAAAGCTAATTTGATCCTCTTCTTAAAAAAACTTCTTCAGACTTCAGCAAACAAACAATTACAGTAAAATGCAGCGATGCAAAATGAATCATGTATCTTATTCCATGTGACGTCTTCTTAACTGATTTAAACGATCAGAAGTGTCTGTTCCTGTATTGGCAAACCTCTCCTCTATTTCTCCAGCCCTGTGAACACCTGACTGAGGGTGGATGGAGTTGATGGAGGAGTGTTTTTTTTATTTCTACTGTAGATGTGGTGCTTCATGCTCCTTTATCTCCCACCTAACAGCTCGGTTCAGGACTCGTCATCTGTGGCACTGGGGGAGCGCTCCTGGAAAAGAGACAAAAGGAAAAGTAAACATGTGTATCATATTTTTTTTTTAATCTGCGGTTTGACCAAAATTCACCCAATAACACTTTGGTCACTGGATGACAGCACTGGGATTCATGATTCATCTTTATTTATTCAATAAAACATGTTTGAGCAGGCAGGTAGAAGGTCTGCTGGATAAATCATATTAGAGAGAAATGCCTGAACCTCCATCCTTTGTTTCCGAACATATTACTCATTTTTGGCTCGACTTTTTCCCCTGCAGCGTTGTGCCTCTTCCCACAAGTCAAGTCTAAGTTGTGTAATTTTATTGAGACATAAACAGCTGAGTCAAGCTGCTTTATGGCGTTTAACAGTCTTGGTGAATTGTCTTTGAGTCGTACAGAACACCAAGTGGTCGCTATGACAACAGAAAATGCTTCAATTAAGTCTCCAGATGTTTACCAGCCTCCTGGTAAAACATCTGTGTGAAGACTGAATGCACCGATGTGTCAGGAAGTATACAAGATAATATTTCCTTGAAAATGGGGTGCGGGGCGTGGCTGTGACAGGTTTTATTTACTTGCAGTCAGTTCATATCTCTCGTTCATTGATACTGTGAACATGTCCAATAATGCCTATTGCTTATATAAAAGTCATTTTGGTGAATGAGACGATTTGAGGGAGACTTCAGAGGGCAGGATGTCCTGAATTTCCCAGTGATGCATGTTTGCAAACAGCTGCAGAGTGATGTACCTCTTCCTGCTCGTCCTCCGAGTCATCATCACTAACTACAGGCTTGGCTCTGGTGCGTCCCATTCGTCTGCTGCGACCCTTCCCACGATCTCCACCTTTGTCCTTCCTTCCCAGACGGATCTTCACTTTCACTGAGCGAGCTGGAGACAGAGACACACACACACACACACGAACAAACAACATCTTTATGGTATCATAGAAACTGTAGTATTTTATATGAAGTGTTACCAAACCATGTTTCTGAGGGACAGCTGTCTCATAATTAAGGCTGTCATGAAAGCAAGTGTTATACTTAGATGTGATGGGAGGAAAAAATTATACCTGTCTCGATACCATGGCAACAGAAGTCCAAGGCACCCATTATTGGACAATGCCTCATTTTTTTTAATTACCAAAGATTGCAAACAAACACTGCCTCAACTAACTGAGTCAGAAATATAAAGTGACAGAAAATGAGACACGTCTAACTTTTTAGTACATTTGTGTTTTGGATGTCATTTTAAAAACAGACTGAGATTGCACGGTGAAATGGAAAATGTGATCGTCTACGTTCTTCATACGGACATGCTCACTTTCAGACTCTGATCCTTCATCCAGTTCCTCTTCCTCTTCCTCACTGTCCTCTCCCTCACTCTCCTCCTCCTTCTCGATCTTTTGCCTCAAACTGGTGAACACTGACTGGAGGACGATGGAGTCTTCATATATCTGCTCACATTAGAGAGACACAGTAGAAAACCGCTGTGGTCATCAAATATTATGTACATACACAAAAACTCTGCTAACAACATCCACGGTAGTTGTCTGTAATATTTGTGAAAACAAGTTTCCTGTCAGGTGTGATGGGAGTTAACAGCTCGCTTATCATAAACAAGATGCATCATTTCTCCAGAGAAGAACATCTGTGGCCTGTCTAATCAAGTCAAGCAGTGTGTAAGTGTTATCAGTATGCCTGTTGGTAGATTTACAGTATTCATTTAGTCATGAGTGACATTAGACACGCACTGAGTGAGAGCAAAGTACTGTACTCTACATTCTTTGAGGAAGTAAACTTAGATGTTTGACATTTTGCTCACCACAAAAACAAGCACCAGCATCATCCACAGAAAGTCTGTTAGCTCTTTTAAAGGCAGGGTTTGTCATGTCCTCCAGATACACTTTTTTAAAGGGGCTATATGTAACTTTCAAAAGTTGCTCGCTCTCCCTCGCGTGCTCGTCATACGTGCTCGTACGTACACAAAGGAGCATCATCATCGGCCGTGAAACGCTGGATATTTACCGGCATAATGTTTACAGAGGAGGTAAGTGGTCATACACATGTGAAAGTCTGTGAAGGAGTCTGCGTGTCTGTATTCATTCTCAATCCTACAAACGACAGACTCTGCAGGCACTGGCTGAGAGCGGGAGTGTGTGATGAGTTTGTCCGCCTTGAGAGGGCGGATAGAAGTGTGAGGAAGACGGCCTCTGGCTGTGGAGGTGAAGACCGGGAGTGTGTGATGAGTTTAGTTTAGTTCAGTTTAGTTTATTTGCACATTTTTTGAAAGAAGAATCAAACAGAAAATAAAAAAAAAAAAAAATGAAACACACGTGCAGGTGAGGTAGAAACCCATGAGGGCTTATCTCAAAACCTCACTTAAGAGATTAAACAAAGTTAAAATAAAATACAGTAAAAAAATAACAAAGTAAGAATATTTACTATCACAAATACAGTTTGTCCGCCTTTGAGAGCTCTTAGGGCGGATAGAAGTGTGTGGAAGTCGGCCTCTGGCTGTGGAGGTGAAGACCGGGAGTGTGTGATGAGTTTGTACTGTTGATCTCTGTAAGCGGAGCGGAGCGAGGAGGACGTTGAGAACGTGCAGAAAATGTCACTTCCTGGAGCTTTCGCGGAAAATACGACCCGGGGAAACTTTTTAATACAGGCAACACAGATAGACAGTGAACATCTACTTTTTCACATCAGTTAACCGTTCGCTTATTAATGGCCGATAAAAAACGATTTATACATGTTAAAAGTTACATATAGAAGCTTTAAGATTTTGGTTGAAACTGTCTTTAGGTCCCGACAGAAATGAATAACTCGTGCTCTGAATAAGGAACGAAGACAATCCGTCATCTGTAGCAGTTTGTAAGCTCGTAAAAACTTCGACCAATGTCTGCCACGAGGTACCAATCTGATGAACCAATCAGACGCCTCCCTGTCTCCCTGCTCGTTCTCTACTCCCTGCGTGCACTAGCCCACACTCCAAGTGCATCACCGATGAGTTATACTGCGAGTTTGTTGTTTGCCGTTGTGAGTAATAAAATAGTCGAATTTTTTTTAACATGTAATATGATAAAGTTTAGTGTTAACTTACCGCTGAATGAGACATGAGACGACATAGTTTCTACACAATGCAAGTGATAAGCTGAGCTGCGCTTCTGCACCAATGGCGCTCATGCATGTAAGTGAGGGGCGTGGCTTTTGAGGTAGCAGAGAGAGGAGGGGCTGGGTGGAGACGAGGGACCGAGGGAACGCTACTTTTAAAATCATGCTTGTTTTTCGAAAATGACCAACCCTGCCTTTAAGGGGAGCTCTCTGTTTTTAGAGAATACGTTTCATACTCTTTTATATTCCATAGATTTTTTACTCTGATAAGATTTCTTTATCTGAATCACCAGAATCACCACACGGATAGAGGTTCCTGTTTTTTTTAGAAAGTGTTAAGCCACTTGAGGCAAAGGAAATACATTTAACTTGGATGAACTACTCGATAGGGAGCATCACAGATTAGGGAGGAGTACAGATTCTGTGTATCTGTGTTTGTAAGTAAACAAGGTCCACACTAAGTCTCACCAGCGACCCCTCCAGGTTGAAGGTCTGAGCGTTTTGGAAGAGCAGCATGACGTCTCTCTCCAGGTCGCCCAGACTGCGGTAGCGATGACCTCGAATCCTCTCCTGAAGTGAAGATGCATCATGTTTAACATGTCATGAGTATCAGGTAATGATGTCTGCTTGATGTCTGCTCCGTCCTCTGCTGCAGCCTCCAGCTCACCTTGATCTTCCTGAAGTCCACCGGCTTGCGGATCAGCTCGTAGTACTCAGGCAGCTCTTTTCGAGACGGCAGCTGGATGAACACCTCACTGAGCTGACGCCCGCTGGTGCTGCAGGAAATGACATCACCAGAATGAGACGAGACATCATCATCTGAAAGCTTCGTATCAATAATTGAATTCAGCATTGGGGATTGAGGGCGTCAACATTTTTGATACTGCGATACTTGTCCTTACTTTTCTATACCAGGTGTTTTAAAACGATATGTCTCGGTTACTTTAATGATCCAAAGTACTGAAGATTTAAACAACTACATCCTTTCATGACAAAGGTGAACGGGAAAGGAATGAATCCATCATATATAGAAAAAAACACCTGCACTGTGTCTAAACTGCACAAATATATTTGCAACGTACCCAAATGTGTATTTGGGCAATTTAGACACTGAATAATTAAAGGCAATGAGAAAGGCTGCTGCACACTGTCTCACTTCATGCTTAATGGATAGTTCACAATGGCTGCAAACACCAGCCCCATGTTTCTGTGCAGAAAAGTCCAAATTCTTTTACACACGTCACAATGGACGTTTGATTTAGTGAGATTCCTGTCGATTTCTGAGAAGTTTGGTTTGATCAAATATTTTGCTGACAGTTTTTATTTTATTTCAGAAACTGTGTGAAGAGGTTGTGAACAGTGTTTGGTGACTCTGTCTGTTAAGTAACATTTCAGAGAAGGTTAAACTTCACCTCTCTTTGGACCTTTAGCTGAGCGGGAAGGCAGAGTATGATGGTAAACATTTTCCTCACAGAGCCTCAGAAACATATGCAGGGAGTGATTCCCAGAAAATACTGCAAAATAGAGCAACGACTGATCTGTAATCGAGTGCTGTGGCCACAGATTGACTTCCTGTTCTGGTCGTCTGCTACCTGTCTTTATACTTGATGACGGCGTCCACGATCTTCCTCATCTTCTTTGTGAGGGCGGGCGGGTTGGGAGAAAGTTTCTCAGCGGGAGGTCGTCCTCTCTTTCGCTGCCTTTTTCCATCGTCATCTTTGTCCCCCCGCCCTCGACCCCCTAGGGAAGAGGAGGGACCAGGGAGGTCCAGGTCGCGGTCCCGCTTCCTCTTACGGGTCGTCTTTTTGTGACGCACCTCTTCCTCCACCTCCTCCAGCGTGCCCTCCTCTATCGCCTGCAATGACATAGATCCATGTGACACTAAGAACCCTTTAAAACCAAGATTTGTATTTAAAGTTTTAATTTTGATGTAAATCTGTCGATATGAACTCACCTTGAGCCACTGCTTCTCGGTCAGAGAATCGCTGTAGTCCACCTCTTTCCGCTGCCTGGATCCTCGTCCAAACATTTTCTCCTCCTCCTCCTCGCAGGTTAACCGTTCCACCTCGGCGTCGTCCTTCATGATCCAGGTGGGCAGCTCGTCCTCCTCCATCAGTCGAGGCTTTCTCCGGGGATTTCGGGCGTCCTCACGACGCCGGTCCAGGTCCATTCGCTAAGGGAAAGAAGAGGAAGAAAAACAGGGGGGAAACGACTAATACATAGGGAGAGGTTGTTGCTTCAGTTTGGGAGGTTAGTGAGGAAATGAACCAGCTGTTTTCTTTTTAAATCACTGACCATAAATTGGTCAAACTCCTCCTCACTCCTTGCAATCATCTGGTTGACCGTCTCGTCATCGGGCACCTCGTCCTCTTCCTGAATACAGCAGACAGATATTGGCAATCACAGCACAAGAAAGCAGACTCTTGAAAGTTGTGTGTCGCAGGTGCACGCACACACGTTAATACGTAGACACACTTCCTGCCCCCAGACCTCGTCTTGCTCCTCGTGCTCCAGGATGGCTTGCAGGAAGGCCCTGCGCTCGTGGCTGGAGGACTTTTGGTCAAACATGCCGGCCTGGATGACCTTCTGGTCCACATTTAGTTTGTACTTAGCAGCGGCCAAGATTTTCTCCTCAACACTGTTGATGGTGCACAGACGCAGCACGCGCACCTCGTTCTGCTGACCGATACGGTGGGCTCGATCCTGAGCCTGAAGGTCCTGGAGCCGAGAAGGGAAAAGAGAACTAGTGTACACAGCAGGAGCCGAGAAGGGAAAAGAGAACTAGTGTACACAGCAGGAGCCGAGAAGGGAAAAGAGAACTAGTGTACACAGCAGGTTGAATGTGATTCTGGGAGGTTTGTTGGAAAACAAGGGTGGGTTCCTCCAATATATAACATTACAGTGTTCGTGAAGGAGTTTACCCACCGAGGAATCTGTCCAACAAGTTGAAAATAAAAACATCAAATTCCATTAAATGTATAATTTTTAAAGAGATTTAATCCAGAGCGAGACTCGTTCTTCAATTCAACAAGAAGGAACTTCAGCCTTTGAGAAACAGGAATGAAGCAGCCACAAGCTGCTGCACTAAAATAAGTTATTTATTGTAGCGTGTCCTCATCTTTCAGCTGCGCTTTGTGCAACCTCTGCTCAAACATTCTGACTCCTGGTAGTTTTCTCCTGAACCCTGGATCATGACATTTTGAGGTTTCTGGGTGTCCGTGTACATTTTTTGTGTGAGTAGAAAGTGTCTGCCGAAACACTGGTAGCATCTTTTATAAAAGGAAATAAACGTGCATCACACCTGATGAGGGTTCCAGTCAGAGTCAAAGATGACCACAGTGTCTGCAGACTGCAGGTTGAGTCCCAGGCCACCAGCTCTGGTGCTCAGGAGGAAGATAAAGTATTCCGACCCCGGCTCATTAAACGTCTTCAGTAACATTCCTCTGTCCTCGGCCTTCGTAGTGCCTAACGTGTGAGGGATGGAAGATATAGAACGATAACAAATGTCAGTAAAAAACAGTAAATATGAAGGAAACATTTATCAACACTTGTATGAGATAACTCTCTGACCATCCAGACGCAGATACTTGAAGCTGCGATAGGCAAAGTAATCCTCCATGATGGTCATGAGTGATGTCATTTGACAGAACAGCAGCACTTTGTGGTTTGTGACTCTCAGCTTTGGCAGGATTCGATCCAAAACCTCAAACTTCCCCGATGCTCGATACAGGTCGGGACTGACAGAGAGGAAGGCAGGCGGGTCGATTACAGGGGTTAAAAAGTGTGTGTGTGTGTGTGTGTGTGTGTGTGTGTGTGTGTGTGTGTGTGTGTGTGTGTGTGTGTGACGTAAGGTGTAGCACTCACCCCGTTACTATCCCACCAGAGAATCCTAAATGTTCAGAGAAAGATTCCTGCAAAAACAGACCAAAGCATTCTCTTTCATTGAGCCTCACACTTCTAATTCAGTCTATTTAGAAGATATTAAAGTCAAGTCTCCTTAAAATTCATCAAAGTGTCAACTTTTAGGATCAGTTAACAAATAAAGTTTTCTGCTTTGATGTCTTTTCTGCTCCTTAGAAATCATCAACATAATTTATTAACTTCAAGGACAGTGTAATCTGTATCACAAAGCCAAACAAAGAACTGGAACTCTTTCCTTATTTTTCACCACACTCCCCGGTAATACCTCTATTTGTTGGAACATGTAAGGGTGGTTGCAGATCTTCCTCAGCTGCATGATGGTGTTCATCAGCGTCTTTGTGCCTCCTTTACCCTGGAAAACACAATGAGACAAACAGATACAGTAACACTGCTCATAAGATCCTGGCAGGCACCTTGATGTCCTGATCTATGAAAACCGCTCTAGATTCAGTACCTAGATGGAGTTTTCCTTTAATGTTGAAGTGCAGATCGCAGTTTAAAATCTGGATCAGTCACTTGTTAAATAAATCATCCAAAAAGCACACATTTTAAAAACTATCAGGCTGCACAACCATCATCAGCGGTGATTCTAGAGTCTGTTAGTGCCACTCGACAAAAGCCCCTCCAAACAGCGTTCATCACCACCATCATGTTATAAATCTGACACCTGAAAAAACAGTGAGATGTAGAATACAATAGAATAGAATACAAAAGAACTGTATTTGTCCACAATGAGGAAAACTATCTTTGGCTTTACAAGAACAAAAACAAGATGACAAACAAGACAACATTTACTGTAAGTACATTAAGAGCAACGGTGTGACGCACGGAGTCAGCAGCAGAGCCGCAGCCCCCTCAACACGTATACATTTTTTTTAAATTCCAAAGTTCACACAAGTATTGTTTTGAAAAGATTAAGAACATCAGAAAACCTTGTAATTTCAAAATATGAAGAGAAATACAAACCAGGACAATAAAAACTTCAATCATTTTCTGCAAATGATGCTCTAATGTAAAACAGTCAGTGTTCACATTACACTCGGCTGCTCTGCTGGCTGAGTAAACTAATGTTAACCTTCAAAGCACAAACACAATCATGTAGTACTTATTACAGAAGTGATATTTTTAAGTGCAGCTCCCTCCCATAATTAAAGCTACTTAATAGAGGTACCTTCTTGTCCTTCTCTGATCCATCAGTGAGCAGGACTCCTTTGGCCTGCATGTGTCTGTACAGCACCCTCTGAAGAGACGACATGTCACACTTGATCACATATTCCACCTGAGGGAGAGACCAGACAGAGTAATGAGTAAAACAAGCAGAAGTAAAAGTTAGAACAATCAAGGAGAGAAGATGAATATCACAGATTTATTGTGAAACTGATGCGCACAGGAAGCTGGTGAATCTATCAGCAGATGACAGTGAGGAAGAGGATGAGGAGAAAAATAGTCAAAACTTGAATGATAGTTTTGTGTGGCGCAAAAGCTACTAGTACGGAGGTGTGTGCAGATTCAGAGCCAGGAGTTTTGGGATTTGGAAGTCACAGGCTTCACGTGCAGAGATTTACAGGGATGGCAAGGGAAACCTTTTTAAATCTTTGACTACATCTGTCAGCGCCTCTCCACAAGACTCTCAAGGTAAGAGTGAGGTCAAAGTTGCATGCATTCCAACCTTACTGTTCAGACTGAGGTGGCATTGTGAAAGATCAGACTAGTATCTGATTCAGACAACATATGAAGGTGGCCAAAACCTGACTTATAGGATCAGATATCATGTGACTTGTGCTGTTCAAACTGTCATAAAAAATCCGACCTGAGTCACACATGAGCAAAAAAAATCTTATTAGGGTCACTTTTTTTTAAACACTGTTTAGCATTTCTGTAAAGACTTGTTGTGCTTGTGCTGTTGTTGTTGTGTGTGTGTGTCTGTCTGTGAGTGTGTGTGTTTAAAGGAGTAAGCCATGCCTTCTCTGGAAGCTGTGCCTCCACCTCCTTCTTCAGCCTGCGCAACAGGAAGGGACGTAGCACTTTATGGAGACGACGGATAATCAAAATGGTCTCCTCTTCATTTAGGTCAACCTGGAGAAAAAAAAGATTTTAAAATCCATTTCAAGAGTTTAAGAAAAATTCTACAGCTGTGTAATTCTCTCGACCTTCTCTCCGGTCATGGCAAACGGAGCGTTGAACCACTGCTCGAAGGTGCTGCAGCTCTTGAAGATGGTGGGCAGGAGGAAGTTGAGCAGCGCCCAGAGCTCAGGCAGTTTGTTCTGCAGCGGCGTCCCTGTGAGCAGGACTCGCCGCGGGGCCAGGTAGTGGGTGTTCAGGACCTGGGTCAGCTTACAGTGGTGGTTCTTCATGCGGTGGCCCTCGTCCACGATCATGTACTTCCAGCGGATCTGGAGAAGAGAGGACGGAGTTCATTTACATGCAAAAAAACACCCAATCAGAGTGGATGTCTTGACCAGATTGTCTTCATGAAACATGCTGGCTCAGTCCCAAGCCAAAGCCTCGAACCAGCAAATGGGAAACACTTTTTTTTTTTTTAAAAACAATACCCACCTTTGTGCACAGTCAGGAAAGCCGTTATGACTATTTGAGTGTATAGCAGCATGACGACCACAGAAGACAGTGGGTGACGTGGGGGTGTCAGTGTGAGGCAGCAACTAGGAGAGAGGACTGAGATGCAGCACAGGGGGGAGGAGGCGGTCAGATTGGCCAGCTCAAAAACGTTCAGAGGAATTTGGGGGAATTTGGGAAAGTGGGAGCTGATAAAAAAAAAACAATGCAGTGAAAACTCAAGCCTAGTCAACTGATTTACTCAAACACAAATTAGCAACAAAATGGAAATGTCTAGAGGGACACAACTGAACTTCATCACACACACACACTGGGCGTGATCATGTGTGTCCCCCGGCTTGTGTTTGTTGGGACATCCCATCTCACCTTGGCCAGCACTTGTTTGTCCTTGATGATGTACTCGTAAGTGGTGAGAAGGACGTTAAACTTTCCACTGCGCAGCTGGGGGACGAAAGCTCTTCTGGCAGCAGGAGAACCCTGAAAGCAAATATATATAAAATAAAACAAAAAACATCTTTTAAAAAAAAAGGCAAGTCTGTTTTAATATGCTAAAATCTCAGAATCATCTTCATGGATGAATAAAACAAAGGAAACCACAACATGTTACAATCCAAGCTAAAATGAAACACAGCCTACAAAACATGCTCAGGGTTAGGATGCTATGGTTGCCATGGTTGCAACTCACCTTGTAGGACACTTTCACAACTGTGGGTGCCCACTTGTCGAACTCGTACACCCAGTTAGAAAGAGTTCTGTCAAACAGAGAAAGCGCAGCTGTAATAAGTAAGTGGTTTCTGTGATGTCCTCTGGTGATAGAACGTTTTGTGAATATTTAAGTCAAAAAGCAGTTTTCACACATGCACAAAATTCCAGAAATTTTTTCGAGTTGAGTTAATGTGTGAAAGAAGTATTCAGGAAAAATCAGACAATTCACTGTGAGCAAGGGGGGTGATGGTGATGTTTGTATTACTCGACCGCTACGATCCTCATGCACACAAACAAGCTGCTTCATACTCTTTTCTGCTCGCCAGTATTTTCATTTCCACTTGTTTTTTGAAACTATGACAGTGACAGTGTCATCGTAGTCATTATAGTGTGCCATTACTATCCTGAATTGCTGCAGCGTCTTTTTTAAGCCACGACTTTCCTCCTGAGACTCCCCTCAACACGTTCAAGTTGGGAGGGACATTTCTGAATAAGCAGCTTTGGAGGATTTCAGTTATAGGCTGTCTTGAATTTTTTTTTTGAAATGTTCACGTCTTGCATGTTTTCAAAAAAACAGCTAATGAGGATTATCTTACGAGAGCGGCACGATGATGAGGTAGGGTCCATTAAGACGTTTGAGCTCCATGAGGTACGTGATGAGGGCGATCGTCTGGATGGTTTTTCCCAAACCCATCTCGTCAGCAAGGATCCCGTTCAGATTATTGTTGTAGAGGGAAACCAGCCACTCCAGACCTTTAATCTGACACATTAAACAGCACGTTTCATGTCAAAAACTTTAAACAGAACTCAGAGATGTAGAACATTTTCAAAATAACTGAACGGTGGAGAATTCAGGGTTACTGATTGGACTGGATTTCTTCACCTGATACTGCTTGAGTTGTCCATTTATTAACAAACTGGACTGTTTGTCCACCCTCTCTGTGACAGCGTGAGCCACCGCATAGTAAGACTGCAGGCCCCGAGCAAACGCTGCACCCATGTATTCATCATCCACATCCTGTTTAGCATTTCTACAGAGGAAAAGACACATGACATTACTTTTTCAATGACAGCATGAATTTATTTGGTGGAACCTTTTGGTAATATGTAGAGTTCAGTGCTCCATCTCTGTACTCACTCAATAATATGTCGGACATCCACCTCGGACACGTCTTCACAGTCAGGGTCTGTTATCTTCTTCTTGTCATCCACCAGAGCAGTGGATGGCTGAGGCTCCTCCTCTTCCTCCTGCAACCCAGCTGGTCAGTGATTGGATCAGTGAACATGAAGCAGGTTTCAAACATGTCTATCAAACAACCCACCTCCTCCTCTTCCTCCTCCTCACTGTCTTCACTGTCTGAGCGGGGCGCCACCTCGTAACTGGACGACATAAATAGAAATACAATTTACAAACACACCCGGTACCCGAGCATTTCAACTGTAAAAGTCTTTATGCATTAAATATATTAATGGCTGAAAGTCAGTGGACACCCTATTAATAATTGAGTTCATGTGTTTTAGCCACACACATAGGCTTGTCAAGTACAGCACCTTACAGACAGATGTACTTCAGAGATAAGAAGCTGAGCTGTGCCTAAGCACTCTTTACTCCTAAAGTCCAGTTCGTTTGAACCAGTGTGAGTGCTCCGATCCGTGCTCAAGCACCGTACACTTCCCTGGCCCTGGCACGCTTGGAAGAGTGTGCTTCGGCACGGTACAGTTCATGCACGAGCACAAGCACGTTCTGTCTGTATCTGACTGAAATGACTCAAAATGAGACACAAAGTAGCTGTCATGTGTTGTTCTCCGATGTACGGACGCAGACTCCACCACAGATTTTTTTTTTTTTAGAGTCTGCCTGTCTAATCGTGCTTAAGCATGATACGGGACAACTGGGCTTAGTGTGAGTGCACCCTTAACTTTAGCATGGTAACATGTGTTAGCATATCATCATGCATAGATGTTAACAATAACAAGAAGTGTGTCATCTTGATATTTAGCCTGTTATCATAGTGTTTTATAAAATAAAAGTCGGAAAAGTCATGTTATTTTCGATTGATTCTTCCTTTGTGAGCCATGACTGTGAAGGCATTGTCAACATTCATACTTACCAACAACAGCCAAACAGACACACCTCACACATTGGCCCACACAAGTCATCCTCACCCTGGGTTCATCTCCAGCCATGTGTCCAGCTGTCCAGCTCTAGGAGCATCAACTCCTGTCAGGATGTTCCCACTGTCCACATGGATGACCTTCACAGGGCAGGTCGCTCATCTGACTCGTCTCATCCAGAGGCTGCAGGAGAGGAAGCGAGTTATCGTTTAGAGCAGGCTGGATCTCAGATGATTGGCCCCATTGTTGTGTTGGACACTTCATATGGACACTGTTGCCTTAAACTTCAGTATTGTTAAGGGTGGTAACATGGTGCAGACATCATCATCAGATTTGTTTATGACATTTTTATGCTGGACTAGCTGATCAAGATGTTGCCTAGTTACAGTGAAAATAAAGAACAATTCGCAGATTGTCGTTTTTGCTGATTTTACAAAAAAGAACATCATTAGCCCCTGAGAGTTTGTGGTGAATATCATATATGTGTTTCTTATAAGAATGTGTCTATAGAGACCACTGAAAGCAACAACACAAAAATAATATGTGCATTGTGAACCCAACATAGTTAAAGAGCAAGTACTATATATCTTATCAACAACATGAAAAGATGCTTGAACTACCAAAGTCAACAACATTTTGTCTCCTGCTTCACTTCAGCTGTTGTGACTGCTCACCTCTCCATCTGGACCCAACGCAGGAGTCTGACTTTCAGCATTCTCCAACTGCAACAAAAGAAGAAGTTGACTGATCCCAACAGAGATCATTAATGAGAGTCATTGATCAACAGAAACAAAGATCACTGGTGCTGAAGCTCTGTGAATAAATGAGCAAAAATCTGGTTTTCCTCACTACAGAAAGTTGATCCCTCTTTTGTTTTCCATACCTTCTTCTTTCTCTTCTTCTTCTTCTTCTTCTCCTTGAGCGCCTGCGCAGCTTTGTGAGCTCTGACCAGCTCGGTGAGGTTGGCGACGTACTCGTCAGTTTGCTGCAGCAGGTAGGCCAGACGTTTATCCTTCTTCTGGTCGATCAGTTTACGATAGCCCTCCTCATCCTCAGCCTGGGAGGACACACACATACCCAACGTGTTGTTTAACGCTGTTAATAATGTGTGTAGTGTGTAATAGTGTCTGTGTTCTGCTGCTGTGATTTCTTGTTACCATGAGCCTCCTCATCCTCTCTTTCTCAATCCGCTCGTTCTCTTTCTTCTGCTCGCGCTCGGTGTTGGCGTGGTAAGTGGCCACAGCTTTGGTCAGTTTCTGCATTTTGCCCGTGATGGAGCGGTGATACTCTTTGAAGTCTTTGGCGTGTTGAAGGATGCTGTTGAGGTACTCCTAAGAAAGAGGAGCAAGTCTGTGTGAAGGGCAGGGAAGAAGAAAAACACAAGACACACACTTCTTCTCTCATCACAGCCGCAGTTCATCCGTCTACCTGATGTTTCTGCCTGCGTTTGCGCTCCTGCTCAATCTTCTGCTGTTTCTCCAGCTTCTCTGTGATGCGGGCCTCCCGCAGAGACTGACGCTTGCTCCGCTTGTAGGCCTTGGCATCAAGCGCCGTCTCTAGAGCTGTGTCACGACGCATACACACCACCACTTCTTGACGCAGCTGTTGATGGTCATGCCAGAGAGAAACATCGAAGCCCACTTTTTACACCAATACTTAAAAACACACGCATCGGATGTTCTGGAGACTTAAGGCTAAGATGACAATGAGAAGCTTGATGTTGTCATGCCGACCTGTCTCTGGAAGTTAAGCAGTCGCAGGGCTTTGAGCTCTATGGTAGCTTTGGTACGTAAATCACCCGCCAGGGAGCCCGGCAGGTTCTCCAGTTCTGCAATGCGATGGGTGATACGAGCCTGTAACCTGATGGAGCAAAGACAGAGCTGCATAAATGTATGTGAGTCCAAGACAAATGTCCCTACAGAGATAATAAAGTGCATCATATTGTATTAAGCTTTATAAGGCGTAATTGATTAAAACTTCTGTCGTACCTGTACTCCCTCTCCTGCAGGATCTCCACTGGGTCGAGGCCGCAGGGCTTCTGGATGGGGGTAATGCGGTTCTGCTTGGCGTGGTAAGGCATCATGGGAGTAGGCTGTGCCGGCTGTCCGGGGGACTGGGTCTGTGGAGGCATCACTGGGGAGGCAGCAGGGGGAACTGATGGAGGGGCGGGAGAGGGCCGGCCGGTGGGCTGAGGGGGAATCAGCTTTTGGGGTGCGTTGGAGGGGGCTGCTGCATTCACCATAGGACCTGAGAGGAGGGAAGGAAAGGTTAAAATACTGTTGTATGTGCTACTGTAGTCTACAGATTAAAAAGTGGCACTCAAATACACAGATTTTTTCACAGCTGGTATATTGGCGAATCTAAACAGGTCGTTAACATTTTGTTTTGATAGTGGTGTCCAAATAAGTCATAACAGGGAGGTATACTGTACTGTACTGTACTGAACTCCAGGGCTATGAAACTGAGATGTCCAACTGATTCGCGTTTGTTTGAGTGATTCTCAACTTATTTATTTTGCCTGATATAAAAATATAATTTCTGCAGAGAAAAGCGTCCATAAACACCGATTAAGGATTGGCAGATGGACTAGTAGTTTGGTCGCGCCCCTTGTATGAAGGCTATAGTCCTCCAAGCAGGTGGCCCGGTATTAAGTCTGACCTTTCCAAAATGCCATTCCCCACTCTCTCTCTCTCCCCCATATCGCCTTCTCTATCCACCATCTGTTCAAATGAAGGCATAAAAACAAGCCCAAAAATATTTTTTCAATTACTTTTGAGCTTTGACTGCCTTTAGGTCTATAAGGAGGTACGCTTACAAGAAATATTCTTACATGAGGCACGGGTAATAACTGGAATATTAATGGTCAGCTCTCACTCTGCCCCTCTTTTCTACCATCTGAGGTACTGTATGTTGTCCAAAGGGTGACAGGTGTAACACTGTCTTAAAGTAGCACCACAAACCTTCAGGCCAGGACTTGGGAGGTCCATTTGGGTTTGGTCCCTGCATCCCAACTGGAGTACCGGATGGGCCAGGAGGAGGCATGTTGGGACCCATCATTCCTGAAGAAATACATAGGTGCAGTTACTCTTTTAGTCTGACGGGACATTTATAACACAGTCCTTTAACTTGTAAGATGCTTTCTACAGAAAAAAAGATTTAAAGATGGAGACCAAATGTCAGCTATCCATCACACAGTAGGACATTGTTTGTTGATTAAAACATGAGTACTAACCATGAGCTCGACCGTAGCCTGAGACCATTGGCCCAGGTCCGGGTCCTGCTGGTCCAACACCCGGCCCGCCTCCAGCTCCTGGGCCCAGGCTGGGCATCGGCTGCTGCTGCATCCCAGGCATCGGCCTTTTCCCCTGGACAGCCATCTGGAGGTGGTCCGGCAGGGGCTGACCCCGGGCCAGCATCTTATAAGCCATGATCTGGGCTCTGAGTTGGTGAAGCTGGTTCTGGTTAAAGGGAGTGGGGCCACCAGGACCTCCAGGGCCTGCAGGGCCCACAGGTTCAAGCCCAGATCCAAGGCTGGGGACGCTTGAGCCAAGACTGGGTCCAGGACTGGGGCCTGGGCCTGAGCCTCCCGGGGGGCCAGGTCGGTTATTGGGACCCAGAGTGTGTTGATCTCCACTGGGGCCGTCTAATGGTGCTGAGGTAGAGCCAGGACCACCAGAGGAGGAGGAAGAGGAGGAGGAAGGCATGAGAGGTCCAGAGGGAGGACCATTTGAAGGGACAGGACTGGAGTGGTCAGAGCCACCAAGAGGAGAGTGGTAACCTGGAGACAGAAAGACACAGAGTTACCACAAAGGATTCTAGTTTTTATTTATGATCAACCTGGGAAATGCGGAAAATTTAAAATACACATTTTTTGGTTTGAAGGAAGTCAGTGCAGTGAATTCCTCAAATCTTTTTTTTTTTTTTTAAGATTAATTTTTGGGCTTTTTTTGCCTTTATTGGAGAGATAGGACAGTGGATAGAGCTGGAAATCAGGGAGAGAGAGAGAGAGAGAGAGAGAGTGGAGAATGACATGAGGGAAAGGAGCCACAGGCTGGATTTGAACCTGGGCCGCCCGCCCTTGAGGACTACAGCCTCCATACATGGGGCGCACTAACCACTATGCCACCAGCTCCCCAACTTCCTCAAAGCTTAAAAGAGGTACGAAGATAAATTTTATTAACTTCATCAGACAGACGTGTTTCTGATCTTCATACTACAAGAGTTGCTGGAGCTTTTTGACTCTCCATGTTCCTCGGTAGTTGGTAAAGTTGTGGCAGAAAACCCCACCCCACTCTGATTAATATTAAATGAGGTTTAAGGTGCTAAGTGGCAAGCTTCAGCAGAGCCTGACCGGCTGTTTCCTGCCTTTATACTGAGCTGACTAGTAGCGTCATATTTACCGTAAAGACATGAGAGTTGATTACCAACACGTCTTAACAGTTCCACAGACACGAGCCTGAATCCTTTCCAAATAAACAAAGAGTAATTCCTTGAAATCCCACTTATCTGTTACATCACAGTGTGTGTTACTTTGATCCACAATGACCAGCCTGTCTGACTGACTGTGACCATAACGTTCATGTATCCCTTCCTTATAGCTTCTGCATGCAGAGGTTGAAGAGGAAAAGTTGCCAATTTCTGCACTGGTTTGAGTCAGACAGAGTTGGTACTGATTGTTTGTGTTTTAATGTTTAAAGGTACACATTCAAAGTTTCTTAACAATTAATATCAGTTTAATTCATGTGTTGCAACAGCAGAAACACTCCCAACGATCACACCACAACAGATGTGTCATACTGAAAAAGACTTGCCTTGCGCAAGCCTTGAAAGCATGACATTGCCTCAGACATGTCCCTGTGGCACGCCTACCTTGCGAGTGTTGGTCTAGAGGACTTGGCGGGGGGCCCATACCGCTGTGCCCGCCCTGTCTCATGGACAGTCCCTTCATCTGACTGAAGCGGCTCTCCTCACTCAGGCTCTTCTCATGCATGCTCTCCATGGGCTGTAGAGGAAATCAAACAGAGATTAAATGCGTCCCTCTGTGGGGACATGACGAGCTAGTAGGAGCTTCAAATAAAATAAAAATCTGTTGTGTTAAAAAAACACTTTGAAACAGAAATAGTCATATTAAATGTTGTGAAACAATTAAAGTAACAATATCAACACATCTCTGGAGATGGCTGTTAAACAGCGAGTCTGGATTGTTTCAAAGTGTCTGCCTGTAAAAGGACTTCTTTCTTTTTTTTTTTAAGTGCTTGCTCATTGGTAGATCGATGTTGGGTCACTGTAAATAATATTGGAAAAAACAAGTCTGGACCTGCTCTTTCTGTAAAACATCATGAGATCATTTGTGTTGTGATTTGGAATTATACCAATAAAAAACGACTGATCTGAGATATTAAATGATAGCGAACACACTTGAATGTGAAAAATATAAGAACGTCTTCAACATGCATTGATTCATATGAACTTATTCAGAAGTCCTAATGTGTTATAATACTATCGTAGGCTAAAGGAAGCTTGTGACTATTGAGGAGCCACATTGGAAAAATGACTCTGCTCACATCGACACAGAAAAAAATGCAAAAATAAAGATGAGAAACGGTGGAAGTTCATTCAATTTAATTCAGATGGGCTTTATTAGAATGGGAAACATACATTCAGATTGACAAAGCTAGGATGAAAATAAAACAGAAAATGCATTTTGCAAACTAGACATGTAATAATCTTTCTATGTGAAGGTGGCATTTAAAAAACCTGATATGCAAAAATGACCCTAAACACATTTTATGTACATTTAAAAGAAACCGCTGACCCTGAATAAATATAAATAATATTACTGGTGTGTCTCAGTGACACAAGCAGGTTTTGTTGTTTGCACGTTCTTACTTTGTGCAGTGGGTGCATGCTCTCCTGGCCATAACCAGAGGGTCCAGGCTGAGAGTGTCCAGAGGAGGGGGGGCCAGGGCTAGGGCCCATCATACTGTGAGAGGAGCCCGGGGAGGGCCCAGGGCTCGGGCCAATCATGGCCCCAGGGGAGGGACCAGGACCAGGGGAAGTACCTGGGCGAGGGGTGCCTCCCATGGGGGGATCTGGGGTGGACATCGCCCTGGATCTCCCGCTCCTGGCTGAGCAGCAGGGACCTGATGGAGAGTAGAGAAATGACAGAGAGAGAGAGAGAGAGAGAGAGAGAGAGAGAGAGCGAGAGAGAGGGCGGGAGGATGTGGTAGAGGAAATGTTGACAAAAGTCAGAGTTGGCAATGCAATATGCAAAGGTAATTAGTAATAATAAAATACATTTAGATGTTGCATTAGACAATATTTGAAAGAAAAAAATGTCATGGTGTGTAACTGCACATCTGACTTCAACTTTGCTTTCATGTGTGCCCCTAATCTTTTGCAGGGCAGGGGTAAATTTTGTCCAACGCCCCAAGATAAGGAATTCTCCTGCTGCACCAAATCACCCGTTAGGTGCATAATGTAAAAACAGCTGCTGCTCTAACACTGCACTTGAACGGAGCAAGGGGAAATACAGTCAATTATGTAGGCTACATGAGCCCATGCCTCTGACAATTTCCTCTTGTCAGACCATGAAAGGGTGTCTCGTTAAACATAAAAAAAAAAAGAAAAAGAAAAAGGGGAATGGCGGACTGTGCTTGTGAGACTGACCTACCCGCATCAACAGGACAGGCGGATCTGCGTGGATTTCTGCGCTCCCGAGTGTTTATTTGAGGGAGATGAAAGAATACGCAGACCGTTCTCGCAATTAGTTTACTCACCCTCTTTTGAAATCTGCCTTCAAGCGTTGATTTGTTTCACCGACGTGGCTCGAGCGCCCCCTCCACCGCTTCTATGACCGAATGTCTAGTCACGGATGACCAGCAGCGCGCATGCGTCAGCGGCGACATCAGCGCTCGACTCACACTGATTATAAAGTATGATTCTTTGTATATTATATTTTTCAGGAATATGACCTTTTTTTTTTTTAACATAACCCTGAAGACATATGTACCGAGTCAGCCAGTTTTAATCATCTATGAACCTTTTTTTCTAAAAAAATGTTTTGTTAATTTAAAATGAATAAAAATGAATAAAGGTGGTAGGGACGAGTGATGGGAATCACCGCAGACTTGAACACAAAGACTGGACTAAATCATGTTGAAATTTGAGTCAGAATTTCCCCCGGGGATAAATAAAGTATTTCTGGTTCTGATTAAATTAAATTTGTTTTGAAAACCTGTTTTTATTAGTAGGCCCATTTCAATATTTATCATAACTTCAACGCAGACCTTAATGCATTTTTGCGAGGTTAAAGTCCTTTCTACGTTTGGTGCATTCTTGAAGCATTCTAGGAAGTCGCATTTTTATTTTTATTCAAAGCCTTTCTGGTGAATTTCTAAGAACAGCAACTTTTAAAACAGACTGAAGTTAGAAAAAAAAATCAAAAGTCTCCAGCCTGTTATACACTGAGCATCCAATCTGTGTTAAACCATTAGATACAAACTGATGTCCATGGATTACTCACTTATGATGACTTCTGCACTTGTTCATTTCTGTGTTAAAAAAAAAAAAAAAAAAAAGAATGGCACTGACCAATAGGAGGCATTGGAGTGCCATGAGCGGCCTTTCAGTCAATGCAGCTGAGAAATGTTCACAACCTTACACGGGACCACAGTGAACGAAGGAAGAATAGTCTCCATTGTAATGAAATGTCTCACTGGAATGACCTGCAAAAACAAACTGTTGTTGACAAATGTGATAGATGCTCATTCTCATCTGACATTTTGAGAACCAACATTAAGGTATCAAAAGATAAAGAAAAGAGTCATGTCTATAAAGAGTGAGACCAAAGTTAAATGTGATTCCAGTGTTGTGAAGTTTAATCAGGACAACAAACAGTAGTGCAACTTGCAGTAGTAGCTTCCTTGTAAAAAAAAAAAGGGGAGAGAAAAAAAACAAAACACAAATGACATCGCAACAGAGGCTTGAAGATGTAGGTAAAAAACCATTCAGCTCCAGCTGGTCTCGACAACTTAAGGACAAACCTGAACCTTAGAACGAAGACTGTTCTGGGTTTCATTTGCTAATCCATCCACATGACTTTATTACCGTGCTTCATGGGAAAAACCACATTTTCTAAACAACATACTCATCCATCTCCGAATGAAGGGGTCATTTCACTTCACCCGCTCTACCCTTCAGCTCGAGTAGCCCTTTATGAGAACTGTAACAGCAGTTTTGTGTGAGTGTTCCTCTACTCCTGATGATCAATAAAGGAGAGCCAAAGCATGTGGGAGATTAACACTCCGGTCAGCTGTGTGAAATCTGGGTCAGACTGCAACAGAAGAATGGATTTACATCCCTTCAAGATTAAAACATGGAAGGATTTGAAAACCTGTGTGAAGCGTGGCGGCCTTTTTTTTAAAAACACGGCAAAAATACTCAATATAGACTCAACAAATTAACCACATCACATCATTTCGCTCACACATAACACACACTTTCGTAAACCTGATAAATACACAAAGAATGAAAAATGAACAGGAGATTTACAGCAGGAGTTCGGTCTATAATACAAGAACAGTCAGGCACCCCCCCCCCCCTCCCCCTCCCTCCCTCCGTCCCCTGACCAGTGAGCTTATTAAATATCTTAAAGTCCCCACTTAACCGTCAGTGTGTTTCCTCCAGGACAAAAATCACAAGCGCTTTATTCAGAGAGTGCTCAACTTTGAGGCGTTTCTAGGGTTTGATCAAGTGAATCTAAATGTCTTCTACCATCCATTTGTAGATAATGCCTTAGCCCAGTAAAATAATGCTCAAACCAGAACCTTCTAATGCCTGTTAGCTTATTATACCTGCCTAAAACAAAAAGGTGATAACAGAAGCCACACAGTTTTTATTCCCATTGAAGGCGATAAAGCACAAATGTGTCACCTTGCAGCTGCACAAGCAACAGAATCAAGTCCTTCCCTTTGAAAGGAAACAAAGAGTCTTTTTCTGCCCCCTACAGGCGAGAGCTGAGAAAGCATCCTTACAGGAAGACAAACTCATCACTGTTTCTTCTGTTGTTACTCCTGCTGCCCTGTTTGCCCCCCGGGGGCAGAATGTGGGCTGTGGGTCCACTGTGATTGCTGCTGTGACCCTCAAGTCCATAATCCTGACCTTTGCCCTCCACGAAGGTAAAGATGGGGTACTTCTCCTTGGACGAAGACAGGGCCTGATGGGAAAAAAGGTCAAACCTGGTTAAGAGGTCAAGGTCCTGGAACTCTTCAAATATATAACATATTCATTTACTGAACAGGAAATAAAGTTACCCAAAAGAGAGAGAGCTTAATTATTAAATCAAGATCATCCAGTCTTTCTACATCTGTGAGCCAAAATGAAAGCAGAGCTCTAACCAATCATTACTTTCATTATCAGCTGTTGATTACTTTCACTGTGAGTCAAAGCCTTTAAATGTCTGGTTGTGTTCACAGCATATGAAGGTAACTAAAGAGTATAACTAGAGATGTCACAATTCCCTCCATCTTTTAGTCTGTGTTTAAAAAAAAAAAAAGATCCCTGGAGTTGGACTTGAGCTTGTTTAGTTATTTTCTAGTCTTCTGACAACTCATTGTGCTTTTACACCACAAGTCACACCTACCCAAGGAAACATCGGATGTGTGGCTGCAGGAGTTTGGGATCGAACCCCCGACCTTTAAGATGAGAGGCGACTGTCCATTTTTATAATGCACAGAGGTTTTTCAGTGACATTGTGTTTGTATATTTGTGTGTTCTTATTAAACTTTTTGTGTGTGCTTGGGGGGGGGAGTTTCCTCACATCCTGTATTGACTGTTCTTTGAGTTCAATCTGACTGAACTTTGATAAGTAGAATCACAAGGTGCTGTAAAGTTCAGCCAGTTTTACAGAGGGATTGACCTCTCATTCAGAAACTATACTTTGTTTATGTTCTTGCTTCAGAAGTGCACAGTGAAATAATATGAGCAGCACAGAGGGAGGCCTGCTACCTTACTGCAGTGAGTGAAAGGAACACCAAAGAGGTTTAAACATTTGGTAAGAGACGTTACTGTTTACACATCCGCAGGCTGTGCTTCTTTTAGATATCTGACTTCACTGAGCGGTAACATGAAGCTGGTTATCAAACAGATAGGAGAACCTAGAGTCTCTACAGGTTGATCTCTTGCCCTGAACACAATACAGGTTAACTGTTCAGCATAAGTTACAGTGGCAATCTATCCTGTAAGAAGTGAACCACCTTCAGAGTACCCACAACTCAGAGTGAACCCAATAATTAGCTAAGAGTAAACCCTGCGTCGTCGTATCCCCCTCTGTTTTTGACCTCCCTGCATTAAGAAAGTTAGTTAATCTCCTTACAGCCATAGAAAGATTTTAAACTTCATCTCAGGAGTTTACTTTTGGTTATTATAGATGTATCAACTTGGTTATATTTGGTTTGTAATTCTACTGTTGTAGTCATCCTAAATCTAAAATGTCCCTTCATAACAGAGACATAAATACTTGAGGCCAACCAGTCACACCCTTATGGTCAAAGTGTTGTTTGTTTTGATTCATGTTTTCCTCTTATAGAACATTGAAAGATCTGTAAGTGTTAGGAAACAAATCTAGTCCTTGAACAATAATTTAATTCAAATTTTCACAAAATTTCACAATTCTTGACTGAATATGAAACTCACCCTAACCCTACCGAGATAATTAAAGGTCACATATTAAACTCCATTTCAACAAGTTTAAATAAGTCTCAGAGCTCCTCAAAAACACATCTATGAAGTTTCTTGTTCTAAATCCACTCTGATCCTGTATTTGATCATGCTTATAAACCCTCTATTTCAGCCCTGATCAGAACAGGCTGTTTCTGTGTCTGTAGCTTTAAATGCAAATTAGCTGTGTCTGACCACGCCCCCTCTCTGGAAGGGCTCGGGTGGCACAGCTTTCTCACTCCATACCCAATTGTCTGTGGTGAGAAGGCAGACTCAGAGGGCAGAACACACACCTAGCTGGGGGAGGGGTTACTGCCCTTTGTGATGTCATGAAAATCTCCAAACGGCCTGTTTGAGCACACATTTTCTAAAAAGTGGAGCAGGCAAAAGACGAGAGGATGGACTTTTCTCTTAATTGGGGGGTTTGTAGACATAATAGAGACACATATTAGTGTTAGAAAACCATTGTAAAGTGTATTTTGCATAATATGTGGTCTTTAAGTTGAATTGTTATCCTCCAAAGTTCCAATGTTCTGTAAAAACAATCATCTTTTTAGAACCTACTGGACAAAATTTGCTTAATGGGAAAAACAAACTAAAAAGAAAGGTGTGCCTTAAAGTTATGTTACTTTGGAGTCATCCACTTAATTAGGCAGCTCAATCTTTGCACATGATGAAACTTTAATGGTATTTTTTTTCAACTGAAGAAGGCTGTTTGGACATCTTGTGATCAACTGCTATCTGTTTTAAAGAGTCAGAGAAAGGTGTAAAAAAAAAAAAACCTCACCACACTGACAGCAGAACAGAGGGACTCAAAGTCCTTCTTGTTCTTGGCATAAAAGCCGATGGTGCAGCTGGGGTCCATGCGGTTGAAGGGCATCTTTTTAGGAGAGCTACAGTGGAAGGACTAGACGGGGACAGAAGAAAGATTGAGATCACACTGTTAGAATCAATAACAGTGCATGACAGGACATGTTGTCTTAAATCCTTCCACAGTGACAAAAACATTTGAAGTCACATGGCATGAGTGTGAGAAGAAGGAGAAATGAATCCTTCAGACTTGAGTGAGAGACATAAGGAATGTAGCACCAACCTCCAGTGAGAAGTTGACTTGTGAGACATCGACAACAGGCTGGCAGTAATGAGGGTCCAGATACAGCAGCTGCTCATCTGTCAGACAGACAGGAAGAGTCAGGAAAAGGAAGATTGTAATCAAAAGGCAGATATGTCCTGAGACATGAGAAGAACAGATGACGTTAAAGTAAGAACTCTCTCAGCTAACACTTTGAACTAGAAGCTATCATTGTTTATGGGGATTTAGTTAAATGTGTTTAAACTGTTGTTAAAAGCATTACAATCATGCTATTGACATCACAATGTCAAAAGAGCGTTGCCATGAGAACCGGTAAAAATGATATAATGATGCCATGGAGCAGTCATGAATATCAGAGAAGGGAAGAGTGCTGTATTTAAAGCTCCTGTCAGGAACTTTTACTTTGTGTCAATTTTGGCGCCCCCTGTGGACAAAGCAGCACACATGTTTTCTTTCTAAGGCAGAAAAGGTTGGCTACTTTTTAGTCCTAGCTCTTGATTTCTATATCAGGACACCAGTTCCTTCTTTTGATGAGGATGATACGTATGTTTATTACCTTGGAAGCCCATGAAGTAAAGTGAATGCTTCGGCTTGCCTCCGATGATTCCAATACAACACTCCAGTTTGAAGATGTTCTGGAGATGACAGCGGAAACGTTTTCAGTACGAGCTCAGAGATTTGAGATAAGGTGTAACTGTTTAAGAAAACATCTTGTTATTGTCAGACCTTCACACATTCAATGTAGGACGGATTGAGGGCCTCCCCTCCCAGCCGTACAGGCACGAGAATGATGACAGACTTCCAGGCCTGGCTGGACAAATCAGGGGGGTTCTGGTTCAGTGACAGGTCGCATAGTCGCACCACATCCTCTTTGTACACTGCAGAAACAAGAGGGGGGAAAAAGACTTTCAAATACATACTAAGGAGACTTCCCCAGGGGAGACATTTCCAAAGAAAGAGAATTCTTAAAAGGAGATATTATCAGCTTCATGATATATGTAGTCTGTACTCACCTGTGCAATCCTGAGCCACATAAATTGCCAGGTTGTGGACAGCGGAGGTTTTTGCTACCGCTTTCCTGAAATAGATTTATTCAGAATTTTCAATAAATCATTAAGTGAGCCAACAATGTTAATCATTGAAGAAAACAGGAAAACATTGGCGTGCACACAAAACATTCTGTAATGCCCTCACCGCAGGATGTGAGCCACTATAGAGGGTCCGTACCAGTCACCAGCTTTCTTCCCTGAACTTTTACCGATTTCAACCAGCTGGTGAACCCCAAACGGTGCCGGGGGCTGATCCCCGAACCAGGTGACCATTCTGTGGTGGATGGGCTCCGCCTGCCGGTCCTTCACAGACTCAGGTCTTTTCTTCTGGCTGCAGTTGGGTGCTTGATCACTTGGTGGGGACTTCTCAGGGGTGTTGGAGCCTCGCGGGGAGCCAAAGGAGGGGATGGGAACCCCTCCAGCCCGGGCCGGGGAGCGTGGTCTGAACACCTCAAAGTCCACATCGGTCAGCTGTTGAGCATCTGGCCAAACCCAATCTTTAAAATAAAAATACAAAGAGGGTTGCAGTAGGCGATTAAGCAGAGGAAAGCTGAATGATTTCTTGAATTTCTTCAGTCTTGAGATATAAAAAATCCCAAAGCAGACATCTTTTGATTCTAAAATAAAAAAGACAGAACTCAATAGAGCAGAAGAATGAAGCAGCCCAGTAGGAGCTAAGAAACATACAAAGACTGTCTGAGATTAAAGGACACGGACATCAAACAAAATAAGTAGATATTCAACCATTTAAAAAAAGAGGGTTAACAAAACAAAAACAAAATCATCTGCATCGGAGATAAAAATTTGAATTTCATTTGAATAGTGTGGATAAATGTCAGAGAGACAAACCTCTTGGCATCAAATGAACCAGGAGACCCTGTGCCAGCAGCATCTGCCCGCTGCGCAGCATACAGCCCCACCCACAGTCTGTGGTCCAGGTGGAGCCCTCCAGCTGAGGGAACTCCCTCCTGTAGGTGAGCCAGACCCTGGACACAAAAGCCAAACGGAACCGCTCCACTTCGTCTGAGAGGAGGAGAAGTGTTGGAGGAAGAGAGAGAGGAGACATTAACATGTGACCTAACGCTCAAGAGGAGAAAGGTGGTTTGTGGTCTTCCACTGATGTAAACCCAACAAGCTTTCACTAGAAAAACTCATCTTTTTAAAATTCAGGTGAATGCACACAGCAGAATAAGTTAGTTAATTATCCACGTGTAGACAGGCTGAGCTGATCTGAGAACGCAGCTAAATGCAGGGAAATTCACCACAGGCGAGCGAGAGGTGGTGGTATTATGTTTATACCCTGCAGCCTGCACACATCGTAGACTGTATGCTTCAGTGTAACCTCCATGCAGGTAGAGAAGGCGCTTCATTGTGTTCTCTGTTTGTCAGTATGTTCTTCTCTGCTCTTTGGTTGATATTGTGAATATGTGGAACTCCACAAAGCATTGATATAAAGGCAAAAATTTGCATTATAGCACTGGACTCTATTGCTGTCTCTGCCACTTCATTTTTTTTTACATCATAAACCAGAAGGTTTAAACGTTTGTATTTAGAGCTTACCTTCACTGTTGAGCAGATAGGAGTGTCCCAGGACAGTGACAGGTGATAATTTGTTGAAGGAGGTTTTCGACTTGACAGTCCAGCCTAAGAGACGAGGAGCAGGGGAAATTAAATTAAAGACACTTTGGCGTAGAAGAAGAGAACTCCCACACACACATCTTTAAGACTAGAGCACACACCATATTTGACGTTGTTCCACGCTGACATCAGCTTGGCTTTCAGTTTGTCCATCTCATCAGGTTCTCCGCTCGCCTCTCTGCTTGGATCCTGTGTCTGTAGCAGCCGTACACCGAAGCTGCCCTGCCGCTCCATGGGCCGCTGCTGCTGCTGCCGCCGGCTCTCCGCCAGCTCATCCTGCATCACTCCCCCCACGTACTGTGCAGCACTTGGGGAAATCGAGTTCATGTCTCTGAGTCCTCACAAATGGACTCCGTTGATCCTCATTGCAACACAGAACTAGAAGGAAAAATAAAAAGACAAGGGAATCAGGCGACGAGGTAAATAATTGACATGAGTTTACATTCTTCACACACTGCGACTGTTCCCCTTACTCAACTGAATATTTTCTCTATATAATACGTTTGTCATTTTACCCACTTTTGACTTTGCGCTCTGCACCATAATTATAACATTCCTACCTCTCCTCTAGCTTCAAACACATTGAATGGACTTGAGCTTGTATAGCGCTGTACTAGTCTTCTGACTACTCAAAGCGTTTTTACACCACAGTTCACACCTACACATTCACACACTGATGGCAGAGGCTGCTGTGTAAAGTGACTATCAGAAGTAACTGATCCCATTCATACTTGGGGTAAAGTGTCTTGCCCAAGGACACATCGTACATGTCGCTGCAGGAGCTGGGGATCGAACCCCCGACCTGCCAGTTGAGAGACGACCGACTCTACCAAATTTGGTAGAATACCAAAAAACACTAAATGTCTGTCAGTTCTTGAAGTGGGACGTTACCTTTAACCCTGCTAAATACTGTACATGAGTTATTCCTTATCTGAATGTAGGATGTTGTATAGAGGCACATTTGTGATTTTGGTCTTCATAGTTAACACTAACTGAGCTTGACTGACTGTGGGCAAGTGGCTCCTTTACTTAAAGTTACTGAGGTGGTTACAGAACAAGTCAAAGAATTATGTTACAGATTAACTTTCCTTGGCTGTGTGGTTTTAGAAGAAATGACTGAAAGTGCTGATGTCAAAGCTTACATCAACAGTCAAATGTCATGATCAACCACAGAATCTCCACATGCTGATAAAGACTAACACGGTTTCACAGAAGAGCTTCAAAGATTTATCAAATTATCACTGAGACGATCAAAACCATGTCTTTCATTTACTGTTTTTTTTGTTTCTGTTTGAGATTAACCGGGTTGTGCTGAGCGTGAAGGTTGATTCATGACCTTGGAACTGGCAGTTTTGGACATTTTTCTGTCTTTTGTCCTCTTTTCTTTTGTCTAACTGTAACACGTGAAGCTGCCCATTTACAATATTTGAGTTCTATACACATGATAGTAAGATGCGATATAAAACTGTCAGCATAATCAATGTTACGTAATGTCATATTTGTTCAACTTCACTGATTATCTTTGAGATTTTGAACAGATCGCTTTGTGATCTGGGAGATTGTGTTTGGGATTGTAAAACTAGTTTCTGAGATCAAAGGGTTCAAAAAACTGTTTTGCAATCTAACTAAAGAATTTCCTGCAAATGTATCAGCTCATAATTTCCTGGTAACTTGCCGTTCTAATTAAAGCTTCTTATTAGACCTATAAGAAAGGATTAGCTGTCAAACTACATTTCCAAGGCTATGAATAAAAGTTTCAGTTCATTAAAATCACATGATTTGGAAAAGCAGGTGCTCATTTCCTCAAAAAGTACAGCAACAAAAAAAAAAAGTACACACAGCACTCTCAGAGTAACCTTGACTCATCATCTGTTGTCAACTTCTGTTTTCACAATGCAGAAAACACAAAGGAAAGTACTAATGCAGACTTCCCCACCCTGCCCTGAAACTGAGCCCTGACATAATAATAACTTTATTTATATAACACCTTTTAAAAACACAGGTGTGCTTTGACAAACAAGAACGAAGCAAACTAAAGCAAACACAGAAGAACAGAAACAACAGCAAGAACAAACAAATGCAAAATACTAAAAATAATTCAATACAATTCAACAGAAAAGAACCCAAAGTGCACGATACCCAACAGACATATAAAACCCGACCATCACAAGAACCATGATAAGAACCATCATAAGAACCCAGGCAACACAAGAACCATCATAAGAACCCAGGCAACAGAAGAACCATCATAAGAACCCAGGCAACACAAGAACCATTATAAGAACCATCATAAGAACCCAGGCAACACAAGAACCATAATAAGAACCATCATAAGAACCAAGGCAACACAAGAACCATTATAAGAACCATCATAAGAACCCAGGCAACAGAAGAACCATCATAAGAACCATCACAAGAACCATCACAAGCAAACACAGAAGAACATAAACAAATGCAAAATACTAAAAATAATTAAATACAATTCAACAGAAAAGAACCCAAAGTGCACGATACCCAACAGACATATAAAACCCGACCATCACAAGAACCATCATAAGAACCCAGGCAACAGAAGAACCATCATAAGAACCATCACAAGAACCATTATAAGAACCCAGGCAACACAAGAACCATCATAAGAACTCAGGCAACACAAGAACCATCATAAGAACCCAGGCAACACAAGAACCATCATAAGAACCCAGGCAACACAAGAACCATCATAAGAACTCAGGCAACACAAGAACCATCATAAGAACCCAGGCAACACAAGAACCATCATAAGAACCCAGGCAACACAAGAACCCAACAACACGAACTGAGACCAAGAGGAACCAAAGATTTTAAAAGATGTAAGAAACTACCCATTTCTTGCCCATTTGGACAAAGCTGACGTGGGCTGAACACTCGCCTTGTTACCACCACAGACCTCTTCTTAAGGGACTTAATACACAACCTGTTCAGGTTTACTGAGTGACTGGCAGCTACGCAAGACATTTCTGTTTACTTTTCACTTGGTTTGTTTTCACCAAAAAACTTTTAATGTACATGTCTGAGCCGTGTTTGTTTGTTTGAGTTCCTGTATTATTTGTATTATGCACAAAAAGATAAAAACTACAAATAAAATATTGAAAAAAAAGAAACTAAAAGAGCTGAAAAAAGCAAATAAAAAGATAACAGCAATAAGAAGGTAAGAGCAGTAAAAGAAATAGAAACAAGTGGTTAACTATAATATTAATAAAAATAAAAAGTAAATATGAAACATACACAGACAAAGTAAGTAAGATAATAAATTACCAAGTTAAAACACAAGAGGAGTTTAAGATAAGAGCATAAATAAAAGAACAGTAAGAAGCAGTTCATCAGGAGTTTCAACAGGGAACAGAAGCATGGTGTGTAGTCACTGATTACAAAGATGGGAACATTTCTGAGAAGAATCATGTGATCAGCGTTTGACAACCAGCATGTCGGCCTTTCTCATTACTGAGGAAGTCATCTGATTATGTGACTGCCTGTCATCATTCATCACTGCAGATCAAGATGTTCTGCAACTAATGCAATTAATCACAGCAGGACGGAGATGGATCTGTCACGATACCACAAGAGTGTTGTTGTTTTTTAATGGTCGCACTCACAGTTATTTCCATGCACTCCTTTTTTTTTTTTCCCACGACGTCAAAGCAGTTTAATAATAAACCACATTATGTTTTCTTCTAATAATCAAGTGACCGTCCCCTGAGCTCCACCTTCAAACTAATCTTCATCAAATGTTTAAACTCTCCGGCTAATAACTACACATCTACAGCCACAGCCGTTTAAATCAATCGTTACCTTGCAGAAGGGTTGAATCATTTCAGTGTTTTTGTCTCCTCACCGACGACAGCAGTCTCCTCGGATAAAGTCAGTGTGTTAGCTCAGGCTAGCTAACGTTAGCATTTTAAAAAAAGCAAACCCCCCCACCCCACCACCCCCCGGCTTTTAGCTTCCTCGTATTCAAATACGTTCCGACCTTTCATCCAAAAAGTTGTTATCAGTTGCGATACGAATCCCTCCACTCAAGAAAACGGGTTTATTTGTATTTATTTTTTTACACACGGTTCCGGAGATAATCCAGCTGGCTGTTAAACGCCCCTTGCCAGACACCGCTTTAGCATCTCCCTTTGACAGCAGAGGCCATTTACTTCCTGTTGTCCTTTCCCGACTCACGTCATTGGTTGATATGATCGGCGTGACACCGCTGATTGGATGGTACCTCGTCCACTACTCTAATACGGGTTATCGACGGTGGGGCGTCAAGGCTACCGTACAAAATTATGTAATCTGTAACCAAGGCTACACATTATGACTGTAAAATAAATAAATGATATTTCTGTAGTGTGACGGACAGCTACAATTTATTTAGGTCTGCTAATCGAGTTGTAGAATTGCTTTCGTCGGGGGAAGTAATTTAAAATAGAAGATTTAGAATAACTTTAATATTAGAAATTCAAAAAAAACTTTATTTGTCCCCGGGGGGCAATTTAAATTTAATATTAGAAATTTGATTCATTATAGCCTAATATATTGACCGGCAGTAGCAGCCAGTCAGCGTTTCTTCAAACTACTTTTCTGAACAAATCAGCCTTTGAAAGTCAAATAAATAAATGATTTGTCCCCTTAAACAAAACAAAGGATGTGTCCGTTGTGCAGTTCAAAGTTACATATTTTTATAGTTTTTTTTTCTTTAACTTTGTCATTCTTTATCTGGCTGTCTGAGCTTTATGAACCTTGTCTTGCTTTACAGCTGCATTTCCAGGTTTGAAATGTACTCATTTTTTGTATACATACGTGTGTAGTGTGATCAAAAAGGGTATATGGTGATACAATAAAGATGGATGCAGCGTTGAAATGACAGATTATGAGAATAAAGGAGTGAGAGGCTTTGGAACAAATCTCAGAATTTAATTCCACATACTGCACTTCAGGTGTCTGCATTTGAATTACATCTACCACAAACAAAAATGCCCCATGGTACAAATAAATACACTTTCAGTGAACAGAGAAGTGTGGAATGTTTTTTTATACTTGGATTAAGTGTTCATTTGTAGATTCAGTTTTTTTATATAGTATATTTTCTTTTTTTTTTCTTCAAAGTAACTTACAAACAATACCAGCAAATAAAAAATGAGTCATTTTTTAAATAAAGTGCATATATACTACTCTCTCTGTCAACCACAAAAAGAGAAAAGAAAAGATCAAACATTAAACACAGGTATAGACACCATAGATTGAGAAAAGGCCTGAAAGTGGGCACGGTAGCTGTATAAGATAACATTACAGTCAGCTTTATGTCTCAGGAGCCGACCTGATTACTGGTTTCTTACATAAAGATACAAAAGAACTCCTTCCTATCAGTACACTATTTAAGACAGGATATTTAAAAATGTTCTTCCCTATTCCAGAAGATATACAGTAGTTAACAGTCAGGTGAAGACCACAACATCAGAGGAGGAATTAACTCATATTTCAAGTGTTCATTTGATAAATACTGCAAATATTGTGTTAGGAAACATAAATGCATATTATGGCTAATACTTGTTTTGGTGGTCTTTGTTCCATTAAAGAAACTCCAACATGTCATTAATGCACGTTTTATAGTAACATGTTTAAAAGTGGATTTTTTTAACCACTGGAGGGCAGTATAGTACACAGCAGAGGTTGTTTGCATGTACAACCTGGGACCTTAAAATCATTGCAACACCCTCAAACATTGTAAGATTTGAGGTTGTTGAACACAGAATCCTTATTAAAAAAAAAGATAACTAAATGATATTGCATTAAAGATGCATACACAACAGTCTTTTATGTGAATGATGTAAAGATTTGAAAAGACAATTCAGCAAAAATCAACTTTCCGCTAGCATTTACCGGTAGCTGTTTTCCAGCTATTTGTAACTACTCACAACACAACTGTGCAATAACTATGTAGAAAAATATTTTGCAAGTCGTTGTGCAGACCGAGCCAATTCAAAGACATCAATTTAGAAGTAGCTGATATTCTACGGCTTTTCAGAACTTCTGCCTTGGCGTGAAGTCGCTGTTGTTGGTGAAATCAGAGTACATGTTTAGAGCTAAAAGGATGGAGGTCATTTAAATCAAATTGCTGTCAGAGAAGAAACATTTTACAAATCGTCAAAGATGGATCAAATTGTTTCTTCTTCCTGCACAAGTCTGGAAATCAACTGCGTTTAGAGACAGTTTACTGTGAACATTTAACCCTTCCAGCACTCCAGACATTATTGATTCAAATATTTGTATCAGTTTGTTACTAAGTGATATGTGAGCATCACAAGCTTGCTTGAAGGACCTAACAGCACAATCGTTGTGATTACTCTGTTTTAGACTTGTTAGTCTAATGATTCCTACCTACTTCAGCTATAGAGCCCTTTAACATCTTACAGTATGCTACATCCACGACTGCCTGCTTAGACTCCAAACAACACATAGATTCACTGTAAATGTGCTTATCATTGTTTTATATGTACTATTTCCACATAGGTACCCATCACTGTGCCTGTGTGGTTTGTCAATAAAGAGCTTTCATTAAAGCCAGCAGCTGACACTGGATCATGCCTGCTGCTTGTTTAATTCCAGTTTGGTTTCTGTCGTGACCCTCGCTGTGTCAACAGTGTCGAGTGTGATTACTCCAAACCCCCTCACACACTTCTAAACTCACTAACTCACTAACTCGCTCACAAACACACTCACGTCCCAATCCTGACCACATGGGCATGGATTTAAATGCATGAAAATCAACTGCTGACATGGCTGCAAGTTGTGAATATGTGTTTGTGCATGTTTAAGTGTTTGTGTGTGTGTGTGTGTGTGTGTGTGTGTGTGTGTGTGTGTGTGTGTGTGTGTGTGTGTGTGTGTGTGTGTGTGTGTGTGTGAAGGCTACAGTTGGAGGCAGAGGGAGAAAAGGACTGCAGTAGCCCTCCTGCAAAGGGGAGATAAGCGCTGAGCCTGAGCTCTGTCAGCCCTGTAGCCTTTAAGAACCACCAGAAATAGACCCAAGGTAGGTTCACACACACACACACACACACACACAAACAGAATCCCTGCGACAGGCAGAGCTGGACAGTGTTTGACGTGACATCCACTGTTTTGTCCGACTGTGCACATTAGCTCAATACACTGCTGCATGAAGAAATGAGCTAAATCATGCTGCTGCTTGTTTTGTTTTTTTACCCGCTGTCTCCAAACAATCAGTCATTCATGTTGTCAGATGCTAATTTTTCATTTTGACTGCAGCTCAGTCCCTCCCCCTGTTTCATCGTCCTGTTTAATGAAACAGTTAAAGACAATAGGGCTGGTTGAAGGACAAAGTAGAGTGACTGGATTTGGTATTCACAGTATTCAGCACGTTTTGATCGGTAAAGCACTTTTTGACCTTCTTGTACCTATAATACATGTACAGTACATAACCATATGACATGCATTCACATATACCCACACACATATACATCTGATAAAGTGTTCCACATTACATTAAGAGTCTTCTTATTAAATACTTTCTATAGAAAATCAACAGATAATGCACCTTTACAGTAGTTCATTTTACTATTGGTTTTAAGTTTGAATCAGTCAACGATTGAAATCAATAAATAACATTTTATATACATTTTAACTGGAATGTACATTGTTTTTAAGTGCTTGACTTCTGTTGCATTGTTCTTCAAAAAAAGGCATCTTTTTTTCTTTTTCTTTTTCTTTTCTTACTGAAGTTCGATTTGGGGGTTATATTTTGGGTGGGCCGCTACCCGTTGCAGCCTTCTCCAGTGGCATGCCAGCAGGACTTTGTGTCACCACAGCAGCCCCGGCAACCAATCGACCTGCTGCGGGAGTGTCAGACTTTCCCGCCGCGCCTCCCTGCTTCTCCTCCGCCGCTTTACTCTGCTGCTCTTTGCTCCTGGCGCCCTCCAGGGAGCCGAGCTTGATCGGCCCGAGGACATTTTTGGCCACGGTGGTCAGCTGGCTTACGAAACTCGTCTTTTCCCCAGGGGAGACCGGCCGCGACTTACAGAGGGAGGGTCCGCAGAGTGAAGGCGCGACAGAAGTCGGGGAGGGAGAGGGTGAAGGCGAATGCTCCTCCACCACCTCAAGGCGACATTTGTCCTCCCAGTCAAGAGTACCACGGTAGCAGTTGACCGGTCCGAGCCCCTGCCTCACCTTGCCCAGCGAGAGCGGTTGTCCGTGTGGGGGGACGACAGGGGCAAGAATTCGAATAGGGAGTTTGGGGCTTTTAGGGCTAATGTCCTGAGTCCTCAAGTCGCTGCTCTCCGCTCCTGCTTTCCTCAGGCTGTCCCCCATACCTGAGGGTTTAAAGGTTTTGTTCATACTTGAACCTGCTGTCACTGTAGCGTTCATGCTGATGGATTTATCCGGACTAGAAGTAGAGCTCTTACTGAAAGCAGCACCAGGTAAACCAGGCCTCAGATTCTTGTTGTTTCCTTCCTGCTTTGGTTCAGTTCTCCCCACGGGCTGCTCCTGGGAGATTTTACTGTGAGAAAACACACCTTTGGCCGCCCTGAAGTCTTGCTGTTTTGAAGTTAAGTCTGCTGGACACTTTTCAGGCCCCCTGTGACCAACGAGGCCTCCCGTTGTTTTGGTCGGGGTGCTCGGAGTCGTAGACTTAGTGGTTTCCGTATTCGCTCTGGAGCTAGGTCCAGCCTGTGAACTCAAGGGCGACTCCGTTGTGTGAGGTTTTCTTGTTAAGGATGACGGGGACACTGTTGCTCCAACCCGACCCAGTCTCTCCAGAACTGACCCGTTATCAGAGTCCCTCTCTTTCTCCCTCTCTCTTCCTCTTTCCCTCTCTTCTCTCTCCCTCCCGGCCAGCAGTGTCTCCCTGCTAAGCGGTGACTCTTGTCTTCCTAGCCTCCTCACAGGCTTCAGGACTCCAGTCTCAGGCGCAGAAGAGGACGAAGAAGAGGGCAGGGGCGGAGGATAAGGCAGGTTCTCTCCGTCCGTCTCCAGCAGGCTCTGGAGGCCGAGCTCGCAGAGGAAGGCGTCCTTACGGTACTCAGAGTGCTGCACCTCCAGGCTGTGCTTCCTCAGCGGACCCCCCAGCCCGCCCGTAGAGCTGGACTGGGTCAGTGGTGAACCAAGCTTCTCTGCTGACTGCACCCGCTTGAGGAGAGGTGATCGT